TTATATCATTTTATTCTTAAGTTCTAAAATATATTTGAATAAAATTTTATAAAAATTTAATGATTTTTTTATTTAATATTAAGATAAAATACAAAGTTAAAAAAATTCCAAAAAAATATGACTCATACTGTATATATGAAAACTAATTATTTTATTATTATTATTATTTTGCCTCTAATTAAACTGCAAATAAAAGCATTTATTAATTTTATTTTAAAAGAACAGTAATATAATACATATAATATTAAACTAGTACAATCTTGTAAAACATTTGTTAATAAGTTTAGATTTGTATATAATCATTGAATTCTTAATATCAAGGCTATCATATGGTTTATATAATTTAACTATTTATTAACTATCTTACTATAAGGAAGTAGGTTCATTAAGTTATTACTGCATGATATTAACTATTTTAGACTTTTTAAATTTGAACTTTCTAGATATAATTATAGGAAATAATAATATTGCTTCTTTCAAGACAAGATATCAAAAATTTATATCTTGAAAAATCAATACTAATCTATATTTAGACTATTATCTTCAAATAAACATGTGGTTCTAAGAAGTAAAAAAATTTTTATTTTTAAAAAAAAATAAAATAAAATAAAAAGGGTAAATAAAAAGTTTGTTTTGATAAATAAAAATTCTTCAATATCAACTTCAGTTCATCAGGATAAATCCTTTATCACCACTTGCAATTAGGCAAATTATTTAATTTTTATTTTCTATTGTTAACCAAGAATATTTAAGGACACTTCCAGAAGAGTATTTCTTGAAACTTTATATTTGAAGACTTCTAACCTTTAAAAAGAGTTGATATTTTAATTGGTAATTTTTCTTTTAGTTAAATCTTTAAGGATTTATAGTTTTATTTAATCAGTAGATAGTTTTAAGATCCCGTTCTTCAACTATTTTCAGAATAATCAACAATAGAGGAAGCTTATTACTAAATTGGAATGAAACTTCTTTTGATCTTAAAGAGAAAAGAAACCAATTCAAGAGGAGAGAAATAAGCATTATAACATTTCTTAATAAAAAGAACACCTTATTATATTGCTATTTTCACTATATTCAATAACATTATCAGGTTTTGTGTTGTGCAAGATTGAACATGTGAAAGTTATATATCTTGTTTATATTTTTTGTTATATGTAGACCAACTAATTTAAAATTCGAGCCAATTATCATTCAAGAATTCTGATGTAATCAAAAATTCTGGATTAAATTGAAATAGACAAAAGCCCCTAAAAAAATCAAAAATATATATATATGCTTGAGAAGATAAGAGAGAAACTTAAGAAAGATGAAAAAAGAGTTTCAAAAGTCAATAATAATTTTTTTTGAAGTTTTGAATCTCTAGAGAAAAGAAGAAAAGTGTTTTTTCTATAGGTTTTTTTTCTTAACAAAGTATTTTTACTTTTAATTTTATAGATGAATTTTTCTTGTATTTATTTGCTAAAATACAAGAAGTTTATATCAAAGAGAGAAAGAAACAAAAAAGGAAAGACTACAATCTCTAGATATTAATGTTGTTAAAGAAAGTGTATAGACTTTATTACAAAAAAATATATAATTTTTTTGGAACATCTGTTTTTGTGTTGGCAAGAAAATTAGCAAAAAGAGTTTCTATCTTATTTTTTAGTTTATATATTTAAGTTTTTTTTATAAAACATTATAATTAAAATAGATTTTAAAATATCATATTAGAATAAATCAATTTAAAACCAATTTTTTTTTTAATTTAATTTACATAAAATTTATTATATTAATTGAAATATCAGAAATCTTTTTTTATATAACTTTTTTTGATTCAATATATTTTTAGCTTATAATTATTGAAAAATCAAAAAAAAATTTTTTTATATAACTTAACTAATTTTAATTAGAATTCAATATAATATAAATAGAAAAATTTATAAATTTATATTAAAGAATAGTTTTTATGCTTTGCTTTCTATAGATATTGAACCAGAAATACTATCTACTGTACTATTAATCTATAAAGTAATAGTTATTTAATAATATATAATAAATTTTTTTAAAAAATATATACATATTTAAAGAGAATATATAGTATATTTAAAAAAAATTTTTTTTTGATATATTTTTTTATTACTATTGTATATTTTATTATAGAATCTTTTTTTCAACAGATCTGTCTGATAATCAAAAGATCGAAATCTTGCGCGATCGAATCTAAACTTTCAAAATGAATAAAACCAAACAGGTCATACGTTTTTTCAGTGCACACTCATCCTACCTACAAAACTGCCTAAAGCACAAAGCTCTCAATCCGAGGGGAACCTTCATTTTTCAAAAATCATTTTCAATATCAAAAATAGGAACGAGGGTTTCTTTATATTCCACACAACCGCTTCAGCCACCAGGGCCGCCGACAGATCCTAGACCCACGCCGCCACCCGAACCTGCCGGTGTCAATACGCCTATTGATTCATTACCACCTCCAGAAAAGACAGGTTCTTCCATAACATTTCGTGTGTATCTCGTAAAAATCGTTAATAATACTTCTGAATATTGCGCTTCGAATACAGACTAATTGACATGACATCTCAAAATAGCTTGGCTTTACAGCAACCAACCACCACGGATAACAAACTATCCATATGTGATTTCAAAAAATAGAAGTTTTTTGACTAAAATTATAGCACTCTTGCCAATTTTCATACAACATGAAATTTGCATGTGGGTAACCACGAAAATTTTGAGAGGTGCCACGTCTCCCGCGTACTTTCCCGATGAATTTTTAATAGGAGGTGAGTTTATATATTTTATTCGGTAGGATCGAATAAGGCGTTTTCTCTAAAAGGTCATGATGAATAAGCTGTCGCCCCAGTCCGAGAATGAATGAATTCAATGCGGATTGACAAATTACTTATCTGAACCGTTGATTCCAAACGCCATACTTTCTTATTTTTTGTCAACATATCACAATCGTAGATTTTGTAGTAACCAATATATGCACTCTTATTCTGTGATTCAGCTTCATATGCCATACGTCATGTATGTGCCACTCTTTCAACCCCCCCAGATCGCGAAATGATGGAACAAATGTTTATGCCCAGGTTGTATGATCGTTTTAACGCAGAAATTGACAAGATAACATCGGAAAAATCATCGGTGATGATCGACATACAAAAAATACATAACTGTAGCATTCGGGACATATGGATGACCGTAGGACCTCGAAAGGCAACCGAAAAAAGATCGGAAGATGATGATGAGAAGGAAAAATATCGTATGCTCCGATGGATGACCATTAAAATAGGTGTTCAACGAGGTAACGAAAATATGTCGTATATCGAGCGTAAGGAGAAAGTGTCCAAGGCCTTTGCCGAAGGGTTTAATTTTAAAGTTGATGTGAATTTTGACGCCGACATCGCTTACCAATTGAAATCGTCAGAAGGTCAAATATTAATTAATGATCAAGTTAGAAGGCCTTTGGTTGTTCGATTTGAAAGTCCATATTTCGAACCATCCGAAAAAATCTATAAAAAACTTGTTAATAACGAGGGTAGAATCAGCGTTGGTGATGAAGACGATTTCGAGATAAATTGGAATTGGCGAGTTGGGGATATAGATTATTTATTGGGAAAGGAGGACTTGGAAAATGAGATTAAAGAGGAAGAGATGAAAACAAGGGGTGAAAATATCGGCTAAACGGTTGTTATTTTAGAAAATTGTAGTTTCAGATGTAATGTAATAATAAAAATTGTAATTTCAGTATAAACACGAAGTTATATTTTGATCATTCCCTTCGTAAGAAAAGTATAAATGTCAAAGTTCAGACACAGCATGATGTTTTCGCAAATGTGGTTCCGTTACAATAAAGAATTGACAATACTAAACGAATGCAAGTAAATAATTCTAGTTATTTTTTAGATAGAAAAACAATCGCAAATTTTCAAAAAAGTTGTTCGCGTAGACTAAAAACGAAGTGCAGGTGATCGATCATTTTTGCCTTATCTATTTTTATCATTTTTATTTTTTCAGACTCGCCAAAGATCTTGTGTATCTTGGACATGTGCTTCTTCATTTTTCTAAAACCAATGCACGGAAAGTCATCTTCACACAATTGACATCTGAACAATGGACATTGTGTTACCATTCCTTCTAACGCACTCAGATCAAATATGCACTGAGGTGAGTTAATTCCAGAAGAATGCAGCTTCTCGGCTTCGTCAAGAAGAGTCGGAAGAAGTTTAGTCCTCCAAAAATCTTCGGAATATGAATACTTGCGCACCGGATTAGGAAAACGGGGGTCCAGGGGAGGATCTTTGTAGGACGGACACATTCGAATGTATTTAAAAAAGTTGTCCTCGATGTTCAAAAAAGGTTTCGATTTGCGATCATCAGGTTGTTGATAATAAGTGTGATTTCTCAATTTCTTACAAATGTCTTCCCTCATAAAGTCCTGAAGAGATTTTTTTACTGGTGACTTTGAATTGACGTTGTCAACTGATGACGTCGAGTTGAAAGTGTCTTGACTTACAATTTTGATCAACTTCTTACGATAACTCGACCAATCAGGCACAATAAAAGGATTTACCCTAATATTTCTCATGAGATTCAAAGATAGCGGAATTTGGCACAGCGTGCCAACTTCCGAGCACACCTCTTGAATGGTATTTTTTAGCTCCAACTCACGTTCGTGAATTTTTTCGTTCCACACTTTTTTAACTAATTCGTGATATTGAATGGCTTGCTGAAATTCAAAAAAGTTTTCATTCTTCAAATTCTCAGCCCACCTTTTAAACTTTCTCTTGTTCATATTAATGTACTTGATTTTTGCTGAAATAGCGTGCGTCATCCAATAAAAGTTTTTGTCGATTTCATCATCAGGACTTGGGACAAGCGGTGGCACAACGCTGAGAATTCTATCTGTAAATCCATAATTTCCCTTTAGAAGAAATTGCCGACTAAGATAAAGAAACCCATAAATATATTAAATTAAATAATTGACAAGAAATGAGTGCATAAAAAGAAAGAGGGAATTCACTTTACCTCTTAGCCTTTTTGAATATGCAATCCATGCACGCACGAACGCGTGCAATCCAATATATGGTCACAGTAATTTTCTTATTTTTACATATTTGACATCCATTCTGAAAGCATAACAACCTCGCGAACTGAAATTCGGTCATTCCAGGCGGGCACTTCATCGCATCAAAAGGAGTGAGTCTTTCTCGAGATAATCTCCAAATCTCCGAAGAGAGCGGTAAGACATTTTCGTCTAGGAGGTTGTTAAAACGTTTACACACGCAGGCCAACCTGAACAAGTCAGAGGGAGGCAAATGATAGCAAATATTGATGAATAATTTGTAAGAAATATTATCTTGCACTCTCCCTTTCAGAGAGTAGGTATTTGGTTTAACAGGAGATCGTTCGCGAGAAGCGAGATAAGTGTCCACTTCGTACATCCTTGATTTGGATAGATTGCAAACGTGTTTAATAATACTTTGACATTTATTTTTATCACCCGACTATTTAGATTATGCTTTACAGACTTGATAGACTTGATGTTTATTTTTATGATTTATTGAAACTTCTGTTGTTTATCAGGTGATATTATGACGTCATTAATAAGAATGCAATTCGTAGATTTTCTCAACTATACTTCGGAATAGCAACTTCATAAACAAATTTAATGTATTCTTTCTTTGCTTCTTCCTTGCTAACTCCTAAATAATCGAAATTCATTTAAAAAAAAAAAAAAATCACAATAACGATAATAACTTAAGAGACGTTTATATACCCTTATTTTTACACCACGCATCCGATTTAGCACTTTCTGCCCCAAAGCTAAACATGCCGGAGGGACCTAATAATTTCGAGCGTCTAAATTAATCCTCACGAAAAAAAAAAGATTAAAATAAAAATCAGACGATGCATTAATAATACCTTTGGGGTTGTCCCCTTCGGTTGCTTGCTTGTACCAGCCATATGCCGTCAATTTATCTTCATTAGAAACTTCGTCATTTTTTTTCCCCACAATGCTTCTGAATTCATTGGCTGCATCCTCGAAGCTATGCTATCAAAATCCAAGAGAGTATTTGTTTTAGGTAAAGCTTGAAACTGAGAGGGTTAACAATAAACTCACTTCTGCCATCTTGTCAAAATAATTTCGTTGGTCAAATGAAAATTTCGCAGAGGAAAAAGAATTTTTGAAGCTGATTACATTTAAGTCAAGATTATTATAATATCTTAGGTTTCACCAGATTAATCAGTATATCAAAAAATCTAATCGCACTATCAAAAAATGTAGCAAGTCTCTCTTACAAAGGTGATCATGAACTGTATAATGATGATCACCCTTGTCTTTTAAAACTAGCCAATTGTTATTCCACCGCTCCGTTATCCATAATAATATGATAGTATTTACAAAACAATCACGAATGCTGATTACAAAGTTAATCTGCGTCAGTGGTTAACGGTATACGTGAGATGACACGAGGGCCTACTTCGATCTAATAATTGAATGTCAAAAAATATGGGATCATGTATTTGTACTACTATCTGCTCATCATTATTGATGAGACAAACTTTGGTTAAAAATATACAGTATATACGTGTATATATATATATATATATTGAGATATTTTAAGGTTTTATGATTCTAACTAATGTTTCTAGTGGCACTGGTTGAGGGAATTGCAAATTATTTTTTTAAAATTTAAATTTAAATAAACAAAACCTACAGCACATCAAGTGATACTAGTTTTCTATTATTTTATTTGTTAAAGAGGGCTTAATTTACTCTTCCATATTGACGAGAGAATTAGGTAATATACACAATTAGTTTGCTCTATATTTATATTTGTTTCAGGGTTATTAGAAGAGATTTGGGAATTAATACTTTGTCATTTACGAAACCGGTCATCTCAAAGATACACACTTACCCATTTCTGATTTTAAACTTGACACAAACCGTCCTAACTAAAATTTATCTCCTGGATTCCTGTGATGGTGGCATTTCTGGAACTTTATACATGTCCCAATCCCTTTGTGAGTATTGCGAGTTGTTAGTCGGACCTTGAAAACTCATGGAGCCAGGCTGTTGCTGCTGTACATCCATGAATTGTGACTGTGGTTGTTGGAATTGTTGTTGCTGTTGTTGCTGCTGTTGCTGCTGCAATAACAATAGTTGTTGTTGCTGTTGTTGTTGTTGTTGCTGCTGTTGCTGAGCAAGCATCTGTAACTGTTGTTGTTGATATAATTGCTGTGGATCTGGTTGCGGTTGTCCGAAGGTTCCAAGCGCACCAACATTCTGATTACTGCCACCACCGAACGCAGGTGTCCCAAAGGCTGGTACAGCACTTGGAAATCCTATTGGATTTGGAGTTTGACCAAATCCAGAAGGTGCACCGAATGTACTTGGTTGATTTGCGTTATACGTCCCAAAGGAATTTTGAGGTGCTCCAAACGCTTGTGGTTGTGGTTGTGGTTGTGGAGGTTGTTGGAGTTGTGGTTGACCAAATGTATTACCGCTACCAAATGATCCAAAGGTGGATGACTGTTGTTGTTTCGTTTGTGATTCAAACTTACTCAAAGCAGATCGCAAGTCTTTAAGAATAGCATCAATTTGCGTTTGCATACGACCCTCCAGGTCTCTAACACCACTTTGCTATTTGGTTTTGGAAAAAGGTATTGAAATTATCTACCATATCCTTGCCGCAATATAGCTCAACTGACTCCCATCCCTTTGCTTTCAAAGAGCTATAGATGCAATTTAAAAGTACAAGAAAGGAAGAAATTGGTCCAAGAAATGTTCACAAAATACATACGTAGGATATATCGTTTCCAAATGTTCCCATAATTGTATAATACTGCAGTCGTAACTCCTCTGGTGAGTAGTCCGTACCATCGATTAGATTAGGTTCGTCTTTTGTCGGCCCATAGACAGAATATTGGTATATAGGTCGGTCTTTAGTTAGATCCATTCTTACGCTCCTTTCACTTTAGTTGCATGGTCAAGAACGTAGGGATAAATTAATTGATCCATCGATTTTGAATTTTCGATAAAAGATCACTTACTCGTAAGGCTTGTTATTTATTTGATTCTGCGAGTTGTTCACTAGAAGAAAGAAGCAACCAGTTATCTCTTGTTAAACTAACTTTCAAGAAAGAGAAAATCATTTCTTTATTTCACGATTGTTTCAATTCTGACCATATGCAATACGGGAGGATATATCATTATTACGTGATTGATTGTAACGTGAGTCTTGATTGTTATAACGTTGATTTCCAGAGTATGGTCGAATATGTTCGAATTGGCATGAGCTTCCAAATTTGCAACGTCCTTCCAGGAAATATTTGCATACAGTCATTTCTTGTGATTTTTTCTGTTGACAAAGTAAGTGAAGAGAACTCTTTGTAAAAGTGATACGTAATTATACACATACAATGATCCGCAGGCATTTAAAAACTGTTACACCAAGAATATAGTGTAAATAAAAAAAAAAAATTAATAATAATAGTAATTTTATAATAATTTCAAATTACATTTTTAAGAAAAAATATTTTATAATGTATCAGAACGTCATAGTCTACTCAGGTTCGTTATAGTTTAGTGGATTGTAATGTACTTATATAGAATATAATATATATATTTAAAAATATTAATATAAATTCTTATTAAAAAATATATATATTTCAAATAAATGTCAAGTTATAATTATTTTGATTGAAAGATTTAAGGTTTCTTGTAAATAATAAATTTTATTATCTTTAAGTTATAGATTTTTTTTTTTTTTAGAATTTAATAATTAGATATATCATTTTATTTTAAATATTTGATAATATTATTATTATTTTGCAATAAAAAAAAAAAAAACTTTTTTTATCAAATACAAAAATTCTTAAAAAAATTTTTTTTAGAAATTTTCAAAAAAAAAAATCAAATGTTTATTCAACTTTCAAGAAAATAGAAGATATCAAGATAGATCTACCTGGTCATAGTCCAGTGAGCTAAGATAGGGTAGGACTAATCTATGAACTATGGTTCAACCCCAGCTGGGGGCAATTCACATATTCCAAATGAGACTTTGTGTCACTGCTCTTGTAACTTATGATAGAGAGCAATTTGGGTTGTTCCGGCGATCAAGAAGCCTTATAGGTAGACTATATCCCATAGGTCAAAAAGATAGATGATCTGATTGATAAAACTTTCTGATCAAGTATTGCTCGGAAAATACCTCCAAAAGGGGGAAAAAGTTTCATGGGATCTTTTTAGTAGTGGAAGGAAAGGTACAGACAGCTAAAACCATTAGTCACACAACTATCAATAAGAGTTTCACATGTCTGTTGGTAGCGAGGATCTGGTCGGGATTGTAGGAGGTTGCTTATATCACGAGATGTTCTATCCTAAGGGGTACACTTGTGACGATTGATTACATGCCTCAATAAATTGTAATCCCCTGCATGTATTGCTAGGTCAGATTAGGAAGAATGAGGCTGGGTCCGATTTCCAAGTGAATTTGGTGTACTGATGTACCCTCATCCCACCAATGATATCTTACTGACTAAATCCTAGTAAGTCTTGGCTAAACTGAATGGTTGAAATACTGTAGTAGGTGGCTGCAGGCAATAATTATCCTGGCTTGTTAGTAAAAGATTTTGCCTTGAATATAGCAACTTTTCACCCCTCCGTCTATACTTAGAGGCTTAGGCCTAAGACGAGTATTTAGGATCTAACATTACCACCTGTACCCTGGAGAAACATCGGGAGACTGGTAAAAAGGTGATAAAAGAGGTACCTGAGTTGACGGCAAGGGTAAAAAAAAAAAAAAAAAAAAAAAAAAAAAAAAGATATCAAGATAAATAAACATTAATATTTTTTTAATTAAGACAACTAATTTTTTTTTCAAATTAATTAAAATCTTCTTATTTTTACAAATATACTTCATATATGATTTTTATTAATTATTAAAAATTATATTTTTTTTATATAAACAGTTTACTAGCTATACTAATATTAATTAGCATATTTAACCTTATATATTTGGATATACCAATTTATATCTTATAAATAAATCTATATATCAATAAGAATTTAAAAATATAAAAATCTTGCTATTAATTTGAAATTATTTAATCTTAATTTTTAAATATGAAATGAAAGTAATAATATATTAATTAAATTTATTTAAGTCTTTTATTACTTTATATTTTTAATTATTATATAATTATAATACCTATAGTCTTATTTAATATTTTTTAATAAATGTTTTAGAAAGTTTTTTGATTAGTACAAATTACTAAATATGAAGATCAAATAATCAAATAAAATGTAATTCCTAAAATCTTCCAGTAGATACTCCAGAGGTTTTAATTAATATAAGCTATTAAATCTAGAAATATATAAATATTAAGCAGAATACAACTCCTATTTAATTACAAGCTTTATTCATATATTAGCATCTATAATAATAATCATCTTCAAAATTACCTAGCCTTTAGTAAACATATTGGATAGTATAAGAAAATTTGAATATGTATATATTTAATTAGACCAAAATCTTTTCTTATGCAATCTTCCTTTTTAATTTGTTTTAGCTTATGATTATTAAAAAAACTAAAAATTCTATTTTTATATAATCTAACTAAATAAGAATTAGATTTGGATATTTGAGATTATATATATAGGAAAACTAAAAAATCTATATACAAGCTCTATTAATATATATTGTCTTCTATAAGTATTGAACTAGAAATATATATTTAGAGATCTGAAAATACTACCTATTATATTATTAATTCACATATCTATTTTTTTTTTATTAAGAAAATTGAATAAATTTTATAAAAAAAAACAAAAAACAAAATAAACAAATTATAATAAGATCAGAAAAAAAAACCAATATTAACTTTATAAAACTATTGGCTAATTATATATTAAATTAGATATTTTTCTAACTATTAATAAAACTTTGTATTAATCAAATTATATTTAATAAATTAAATAATCTTATATATTAGGACCTGTGGGTCTGTAGTGTAGTGGTTAACACTCCACAGGTTAAATCACAAGATACCAGTTCAACCCCATGTGAGGATGGTTAAATAGAATTAATATGGTATCTGGCGCCATAACCTATATAAGCGCTGTTTCTCATGAGAAACCGTTTCACACGCTGATCCAGTGGGCATTGAGATTGTGATTTCCAGAAAAGGTGTCGTGGTGTGACGATCGTCTGGTTGGTGTTATGATGATCGTCAGAAGTTGCAAGGTGTATGAGGTGTCCGGTTTAGTACAAGATGGTTTGGTAATCACTTCCTATAATACCTGGTATCTTTT